CCCACGGCTTCGCCCGCATGAGAGTCAGTAGTGTTACAGACAAACAGGATGGCGCACGGCATCAGCTATTCGTTCATTGTTCAACAGCTAAATCGTAGTGCAAAATCCTCATTGAGGCAGCAAATAAAGCCGACTATAATTTTCTTGGGATAATAAATATAACTTGGCGAATTTTCACGGAATTTCGAGTATTACGACGATCAAACAAACTTACTTGAAGGGAAAAAAATGGAATTCACCCGAGCTGGGTGGAATGAAAGCCCAAAGCTCAATCGCTTGAGCAAACCAAGACAACTGACATCCATTCCCAAATGGGCAAGGACCCGATAAAGCAACCAGACGACGATTCAAAATGACTATTTTCTCATGAAAAGGGTTACTGTGGCTTATAGAAGGTCGCTATATGCATCCGCGGATTTTTTAGTTCCTTTGCAGACCCTTATTTATGTAGTAGTAGCATTTATGTGTGATCCACCATTTAGGCAGCGTATGCAGTTAAAGTCACACGATCGTGATTTTTTAAACATATTTTATTTATTAGAGCAGATCGCTATATGGAAGTCTTCTCCTTAAGACAAGTCCAAAAATGAACAAACTGTTTTACTCAAGATTATTATAACAAATGAATGAGATCTTGTCAGCATAACATAAACATTAAAACTGTAATAAGGAAATGAATCAAAACTGTAGGCCCATATTTTTCCAATTTTTGTTTATTAACATAATTGTATTCTAATGTCTCGAAGTTTTTTCAAGACGATTGTGGAACATACTGTTACCCTAATAAAATGTGTATTATTCAGAATATGTAAATCGAACACTTAGAGCTCAGAATACCCCCGTTCTAGCCTGACGCCTCTCGACAGCCATTCCGTGGCCCGGCGGCAGTCAGACTCCGATCAGGCGTACGAGTCATTACAGTTTTAGATAGTTACAGTATAGAATCCGTTAGTACGAGTAACGTTCAATATCCGTAGAGAGCATACATATGAAATGACGCCTTTTCATAATAAATTGCATTACAAAACATCCGTAAGAAGATGCAGGCCCTCAAGGAAGACCTCAATTGCTTTTTACCGTATTCGATACACGTTCAAATATATTTTTCCCCTTTTTCTCATCTGCCTCTATACCTACACCGATATTTACTTGGAATATTTTCTCTCACCTACTTCCAATGTTTTAACTCGCTGATTTGCTCACCTGGAAATGAAAAAGAATTGCTTTAATTTTATTATAGCTAAACAGTTGTCAGGAATAACAAACCAATATAGGTCAATATTTACGAGTATATGATGGCAAACTTCGTGTTCTGGCGGTACGAGGTATTTGTAGTCAAGTAATTGGTTGTCCATTTTCTCGCTAGGCATATTTATACTTGTCTTGATAGGCAATCCAGAAACGTGATCATTCTGATATCGGACAGGTATTTAATAAAATCAAACACAGTAAGTTCTCCACAATAGACCTCGTTTGTTATTTTTTGCACTTGCTTAGTGTCCAAAAAGGCGTGGACGTATAGCTGAGGGTTTGGAAAAAAAATAACTCGTATCTGATAGCAAATTCTAATATCGGATAATTTGTCACTATATCATAAGGGTCACAACCATAGTAGCAGTAATTATGTGGTCCTGACTCATATGGTTATATAGAAGAACTACTAGGGACACTCGAAAACCGTTTCCGCAGTCACATTGGTATCTCGTGTTTACGTCAAATCTATTTGGAAATAAGCAGGGCTTTTGCACATTTTCATGACGCAACAAACTTGTTTTACCAAATGGAACCCCCAGGGTTTACATGGTCCTTTGTTTGGATATTTTATCATTTGTTTGAAGAAATGCCTATCTATGTACAGTTCTATTCATAAAAAAAGCGTACACGAATTAGAATGAGAGGAAACCTTAACCTTATTTGCGTAAAACCGGCTTGTCTAAACAATTGTTTATTGGAGGTTATCACACGTCGTAGATTGTCAAAAATGCAAAGCATTGACGTCGGTGTAATTCATTTCGAAAATGCGTGGTGGTAACGTTTGATAAACTTTGACAGAAGAAAATAAAAATGCCTCGTCAGTTGTCTGAAGTTGAAAAGGCTCAAATTGTATCAAGAATCGAAGAAGGGTGGTCAATCCGTGCTGTAGCGCAGTTGTATAATAGAAATAAAAAAACCATATTGAAAATTAAGCAACGCTGGGAACAGGAAGATTCCCTAAAGAGGAAAATTGGTTCAGGTCGTCCCAAACTTACCAACCCTGAACAGGATGCTGCTTTTTTGGGATATTTAAGAAATAATCCATTTGCAACTGTAAGGGATGCTGTTATTGATACAGCATTTCCTGCCTCCCAACCTACCGCCAGCAGGAGAGTAATGAAATCTGAACTAAAATGTCACCCTGCTGCGAAAAAAATGTTTCTTAACGAAGAACGGCGACAATCAAGGATTATTTTTGCTTTAAATTATATATACCGCAATCCTCAATTTTGGAACAGGGTCATTTTTACTGATGAAAAGACGTTCCAATCGACTTATAACGGCCAAATTCGTGTTTACCGTCCAAACAATACCAGGTTTGAAGAGCGATATACTAACCCCCTCAATTCTAGACCTGGGCGTTTCTCTGTAAATGTATGGGGCTGGATAAGTGTTCATGGACCTTGTGTTTGCTGGCGAATAGAGGGAAGATTTAATGCCGGAAATTACATTAACATTTTAGAAAACATATTGTTACCAAGTGCTGAGCAAATATATCCCAATAATACGTTCATATTTCAACAAGATAATTGTCCAGTTCATACGGCCAATGCTGTAACCCACTGGTTTCAAACCCATAATGTGGAAGTGCTGCCTTGGGTCGCTTATAGTCCCGAAATCAATCCAATCGAAAATATTTGGGGTATAATCGTAAAAAAATATATAATCGAAATTTTAGGCCACAAAATTCAGAAGATTTATAGGAAATAATACATGCGTGCTGGGAAGAGCTTGATCCAAATATTGTATCAAATATAATTCAGTCAATTCCGAATAGACTGGCTCAAGTCATAGAAAAACAGGGATATATGACCAAATATTAGATTTTATTTATTCTTGTTAATCGTTTTTTGTTTCTATTGTAATTTTTATAAAACTGTTAAGATGTAAAATAAAGAAATATATTTTTGTTACTGTATTGAACTAATGCCCGACGCCCATGCTTTGCATTTTTAATAACCTTTAACATGCGATAAGCCGGTTTTACGCAAATAAGGTTAAGGTTTCCTCTCATTCTAATTCGTGTACGCTTTTTTTATGAATACAACTGTACGTCAACTATTAGTTCGGCTGCCGAATGTGGCGTTAATATGATATGTTTTTACGGAGTGATGAAAACGAAAAAACACCCTATATACTTACATATATATTTCTTTCGATATAAGTTTAATACTGAGTTATTTAAACGGTTATCTACTTATTTCTAAAAATTATAGAAAACCATATAATTATCCATTTAGCCACCAAATCGTATCCTCCATAGAAGCAATAAGTTTTTCTCACAATTCTTTACTTAGTAGCTCTTTTAATATCGTTGTTCAGTTTTTCTCTGTTTACCTGTCGTCGCTCTCGCAGGGACAACGATGTTCCATATTAATTAACACTAATCCTATGTAAATTGTAAAGAATGCTAAGATGCATCTTTTTTCAGATAATATACTGGAATAATATATTTTACTGATTATGTGATTGAAGATTCAAGGAGAATTCTTATATCAGGTTGATAAAAGCTTTAAAATCATGTTTTTAACTCCAGCTACTGCTTTTTCGATTTTCAGGTATGATTACCTAATTTATTTTTTTGCTTAATTGAATTGAGCGGAGTTTTAACATCTCAGAGGAAGCGAAGTTTTAGTTAAGATGAACCAAGAAAGAAGCTAGATCATGGTTCTATGAGTTAATTTTTCATGTACGAATGAGACATTTATGGAACACAGTAGCCCTGGTTGAAGCACACTGTAGGAAAAAATTATTGCTTCTATGGATGATACGAGGTTCGAGAATTTCTAGAAATAATCAAATAACCCTTCAAATAAACTAACGTAAGCCTTACAACAAAAGAAAGGCTATAAAAAGGTGTAAAATCGCGTGAAAATACATAGGGTTATTCCATTTATAATGAATGAGAAACACATGTTGCGCTTTGCAATACCCTGTATAAACAACTTCCGGGCGTGAGCTCAAATTTAGCGTTGATTTTCATCCTTCCTCCACAAGTCAAATAAAGTCCACGCAAAATGGAGTTCAAAGCCCTCAAAGATAGGCATTATTCCAGACAAATGTTAAAATAACTAAACAAATGACGAAATGCCTATTTTGGGAAGGTGGTTACAAATATCTATTAAAACATAGGGTGTTACATTATAAAAAACATGTTTGTTATGCTACGGCAGCGTTTCACAACCTAGTAGAGATTATCAGAAAAAAACAAAAAAACAACATTGAATAATAATTTACTAAAAGGAAAGAGAAACAAAATTCCGACACAATCAAAAACAAAATACACTTTAACACGGATATAGTAGGTATACTTGTTTATGGACTGTATTTATCAATATTAAATCAAAAATAAATTTAATAATATTAATTGTAAAAAATAATAATAGTTACTAGTGACTCCCTGGGGTCTGCTTTTCCGAGCAAAGCTTCTTGAAACAATTTTATTTGAAATAGACACTCTGAGTTCATTTTCTATATTTAGCTGCGATCTATATTTGGTCTTCAAAGCAGTCACCGCCGAAAATCCTGTTGCGCAAAGGTAGGATGTTGAAAATTGTAGTAGTATACGAAGGGCTCTGGTTTTTAGGGCCGAAAACTCATCGTTCACTCCTGCCCAAAATTCAAAGATGGATTTATTATTAAACTATTTTTTGAAATATTTGTCGGCATCGCTTAATGATTTTCAGTGGTTATGAAAACAACTTTCATGTGTTATTCTTCAGTCTTGTAAATTTTAATACATTTATCTACATTTCCAGATCTTTTTGCTTGAAATTCCTGATCGCCAATTCCAATTTTCTACAAAAAGCGTTGACTTTATCACTCGTGCCGAATATATGTGTATTTGCTCCTTGGAGCTGAAGGTTCAAGATATTTAGTTTCTCGAATATGTTGACCAAGTATCTCAATTTTGTCAGAAGTAAATCATCTCGAAAAATCTTGGCTTTCGGTAGGTTTTCTTCTTCTCGAAAATGGGAGAATTCATGTCTTAATACACGTTGTTAACATTTCTCATGTGGTAACCATCTTGCCTCGCAATAGAATAGTAATGATGAATGTGCTGCACCCATACCTTTACAAAGTGCAGAAAGGATTCTAGTTTTCAAATGTCCGACTTTTATGTAATTAACTACTGTTACAGCATAATACTCAGGTCAGGAGACATTACCTTGGACGCCAGAGCTACTATGTGAATCATGCAATGTGTCCAGATGCACAGTGCAGATTTTGGTTTTACAAGGGCTTATATACTTTCAAATCTTCCGGACATTGAACTAGCCTCATCGGTGCATATTCCGACGCAATTCCTCCACTCCATGTATTCCTCGTTTATATATTCGTTTAGGATAGCAAATAATGAGAGACCTGTTGTTTTGAGTTCTATAGGTTTGCATAAACGTAGTTCTTCTTCTACTGATATGCCATCACAAAATCGAACGTAGGAAATAATATGAGCATCCTTATTGCTATCCGTTGCGTCATCAAGCTGAATTGAAAACAACTTGTTTCGCAACTTCCGAGGCAGCTGGTGCTGTACATCTTCAGTTATACCAAAAAAATTGGACGGGCAACCGTATCATTTGATAGAAGTATGGTATCCAATTTTTGGGCAAAAATTATCTCCAAACATAGTTTCTACAATTTTAATTGCAGCTGGCAAAATAAGTTCTTCACCAACAGTGTGACGCTTCTTACATCAGGCTATTTCATATAGAACTTTATAAGAGGCAAGTAACGCTGTTTAATTCACTGTTAAAGTTTTTTTTAAAATGATTTTTCCTTTTCGTATGATTTCAATTTTAACTTGAAGAATTCCCGGGGTTTGTCAACGTACTCACTACTAGTCGTTAACAAATGTCGTTCAAATTTATTATTATTTCATGCTATTTGCTGCTACAGTTTTTGAGCAAATGATACACAGAGGCCTCTCTTCTTCATTGACTTCAGTACATGTAAACCTAAAACTTATGTATCCTTGAGAATATTTTCTTCATTTTATTTTTGGAACCTCTCTGGCCTGTGCACTTGTTGATGCTTCACTGGTATCGGATGCCCGTTTACGCCTACTTAAAGATTTATATATGATTTGGTATAAATTTCAATTTACTGCTGGGGATATACAGGGTTGCGCATCGAAAATGAAACAGACGCATTTACTGGCAGCTCAGTTTTTTTTGGAAAGACGCTCAGACCCGTCGATTTTCTTTTCGAGGGGGACGCGAGTTTAGCAAAAATTCACGTTAACACGTGCAGCCCCCTGGGCGGGGTTGACACCAACCCTAAAATCTTAAATGGAAAGGCGGGTTGAGTGATACCTTAATTTAAAGGTTGTAAAATACTGATAACGATGTAAAATACATGAGCTTCAGTTCAGTAGTTTTGGAGATTTATTGATTTAAAGCTTAAAGTAGACTTTAATAGGTACATCAGATTAGTTTGTACTACTTTCAGAAGAAATTTGACTAAAAGAATTTACTTAATAAGTAAATGATTTTCTTCACTACGCCCATGGTTTATTTATAATTTTGTTGTTGAAAATAGCTATTGGAGCGTGTTTTTGTGGCAAAAAAGGTATTCTTGAAGAAATATAAGGAAATACCTCGTACTTATTTTAAATAGGAATTTAGTACATAGTTTGCGATTGATTTGACCAAGCTTTGTTGCAAAAATAACTTGTAACGCTTTATTACATAAACTAACCATGGTATATTCCACAGCAGAAAGAGTTTAAATTATCAGTGCGCTAATAGAACATCAGAAATATTTAATGAGCGACATGAGAACAGTAACGTGCATCGAAATTATGTTTTAGAACTTGTAGCTAAATTTCGGGAAACTGGGTCAGTCGCCAATAAAAAACGCAACATTGAAAATCACATAAGGAACGAAGCAATAGAAGTGGGGGTTTTAGGGCAAGTTTATGTAGATCCTACGTTAAGTACCCGCAAATTGGAGCATGTGTGTGGTGTCCAACGGATTCTAAAGGCCCATAGTTTTCATCCGTATAAAATTCACCTGGTACACGAACTTAATGAACACGATTTTGATCGGCGATTGCAATTTTGTGAAGATATCAGTGAACGAATTATAAAGGATTAACATTTTCTATTCAACACTTATACTAAGTGACATATAAATCCGAACACCCAGTTTAAATGGTTTTATTTTAATAAAATTTTGTATAAGTACTTAATGAAGCATAATAAGAAAATGATAAAAATTTCAAAATGATTGCACTGCTTTAAAGCCCTTTGACCTTTAATAATGTGTGGATGCACCCTGATGTGCTACACATTCTCCAACGCGCCTAGGCATGCTTCTTATCAGGTGGTCAATGTCGTCCTGTGGTATCTCATTCCAGGCAACCACCAACTCCTCTCGAAGTGCTTCTAGAGTCTGAGGAGGACGTTGCAAATTGAGCAATCTCCTACCCATCATATCCCACAGGTGCTCAATTGGGGATAAGTCGGGAGATCTTGGTGGCCATGGTAACAATGTGACATCATTATGTTGAAAGAAGTCTATTGTGACTCTTGCAACATGTGGTCGGACATTATCTTGTTGGAAAGTTGGATCTGCCAAGGTGTCAAGATAGGGTAAAAGATGGGGTTCTAGAACTTCGTGGATATAACGCTGCGCGTTCATGTTACCTCTGATGAAGATTAAAGGTGACCTGGAACCATAAGCTATAGCACCCCAAACCATAACTCCAACAGTGTGATGAACATGTCTTTCAACAAAAAACTGTGGATTCCTCCTTTCACCACGTCGCCTTCTAACCCTGGCACGACCATCATGCAAGCCTAAAAAAAATCGAGACTCGTCACTAAAGGCAATACTGTTCCATTCCTGATCCCAGAGTGACCGTTGTCTGCACCACTCAAGGCGATTACGTCGGTGTTCTCGAGTTAAAGGGAGGACCCAGTGTGGCCGGTATGAAAACAAGCCAAAACTTCTCATTCGTCGGTAAGCACTTCGCATGCCAATAGGTCTTCCGTGTTCTGCAAACCATTCATTTGCAATGGACCTGGTAGTGGAGAAACGGTCCCTTAAGGCCAATAATCTTAGGCGGTGATCTTCACGGTCTGTTGTTCTACGGCGACGTCCAGTGCCCCTTGCTCTTTGCGTACGGCCTTCTCGAAGCCATGCCTGACAACACCTAACCACAGTGTCTACACTTCTTTGCACTCTAACTGCAATTGCCCGAAAAGAAACTCCAGCTTCCCGAAGTCCCACTATACGGCCCCTATCAAACTCACTAAGTTGACGAAATCGTACAGGTCTCCGTACTCTAAGCATCGTAATCGATCGTAAAGGATGTCAAGAACCAAAATCCGCCAACGTTGATTCTTTACTGCGGCTGAAATATTCATTTTTAGAGCGTTAGTGAATTAAAAAAAAGCAGTATAAAAACCGGAATATCCAACTGATAAGGCTGAAAATTTGTTAACTTGTTATTTACAGTAAGATAAATACATTCACCAAGTTTTATTAAAATCAACCCATTTAAACTTGGTGGTCGGATTTATATGTCACTTAGTATACTTGCTTTTCTAACGAATGTTCCTTTTTCTTAAATGGCGTAGTAAATCATCATAACTGCCGATATTGGTCCGATTCGAATCCCAGAATTTATCATGAGGTTCATACACAGCAGCCACAAAAATTAAATGTTTGGGCTGGTATTTTTGGCGATCATTTAGTCGGTCCTTTTTTCTTACCTAGAAATTTGACCGGTGAAATGTATTTGGAATTACTGGAAGACGCCATAGATCCTGCATTAACAGCCATAATTGAAAATCAGAATGATGAATGAATAGGACGATGTTCCAACAGAATGGTGCCCCACCACATCACGCATTACGACTTCAAAAATATTTAGATCAGACGTTTCCAGATCGATGGATTGGTAGAAGAGGTGCCATTGAATGGCCCCGAAGATCGCCAGATTTATCACCTTTGGATTTCTTTATGTGAGGTCATTTAAAAAGAAAAATCTATGCTACTCAGCCAACATTAGAAGATCTGCGACAAAGAATTGTGAACGAGTGCCTTCAAATTACTCCTCAAATATTGTAAAACGTGCGGCAACGTTTTGAGCAATTTCTTTATTATTGCATGGAGAGTCATGGTGGCCATTTTCAACATTTACTTGCCTAACGGATCAGTTCATTCTTCATTTTCAAATTACTTTGCAAATGTATTGATCTCCACTAATGATGATGTATTAGTTTTATTTAAGCTTTAAATCAACAAATCTTCAAAACTACTAAACTGAAGTACATTATTTTATATCATTATGAAGGGAATTCAAAGAACTTTAAAATAAGGTATCACTCGACCCCCCTTTCCATTTAAGATTTTGGGGGTGGTGTCACCCCCGCTTAGAGGGCTGCATGTGCTAACGTGATTTTTTTCCAAACTTGTGTCCCCGTCGAAAACTAAATCGACGGGTCTGAGCGTTTTTCAAAACAAAAACTGAGCTGCTAGTAAATGCGTCTGTTTCGTTTTCGATGCTCCACCCTGTATATATATATTATATAATATTAACACGTAAATTACAACATACGCATTCACAATAGATTTAGCACAGACACAACGACTGACTCGACTTAGACTGACTAGAATTGACGAGATGCGGCGTATATATACGTTCGCGCAGACGGTCAAGAATGTACGGAACAACTCGCGAAGAGAGGCACTGATTCTGGATTTGCCAATGCAGGAGATCGCCGTTCTCAAATATGTATAAATTTACTTCTTCTTGATAAGTTGTAGGATTTGTGATTAATGTTATAGCGTCAAAATACTCATTATCATTGTATTCTTGAAAACTACATTTTCTTTGGGACACCTTTTACACAGTTTATCCCACGGTTCGGTCAAAGCGAATACTCATCTTTTAGTTTTTGCTATCTGTGTTCATTGTAGCTATAACCACCTAGGGGTTGTTCCTTTTTCCATGACGGACAAACAGCGAATACTTTCAGATTTTACCTGTTTTCTATATACATCGACATTTTTAGAATAATAGCAGAAATCTTAATGTGTTCACTCTGCCCGCCTCCTCATTACCTCAAAAGCCACCCAGGGCGTAATTATTGCATAAACACATCTAAATATCTTATTTTATTGTATAATAAACAAAAATCGATAGGGTCCGTGTTATTGGACGATCCAAGTACGAGTACAAGACGA